TGTTGGAATGAAGAAACTTTTAGGAAATGACAAAGGCTAAAAACACAACTTATGGAAGAAGCTTCACTCTTATTTAACACCTTAACTTAGCTTGATACAAACTCAAAGACTCCACCCCTATTTATACTAGTGGCACCTCCTAAATTTATGGCTAGGATTGTGCCACCACAATTACAATCCAATGGTTACAAATAATTCCAACCTACCACACAATAATTCAACACCTACCACACCTACCACACCTACTACACAATAATTTCATACCTACCACATATTCTAGAATAAGCTTATAGAAATTAAGCTTTATTTAAACAACTAAAACAAGTTTATATTTCAACAGTCATATAAATAACTTTAAGGCAAGTGTGACATAAAATGCAAATATTTAGCTTTAACTTGCAAAGCATAAAAGCACCATAAAGTCAATATAAATCAACCACGAAAAGGACAGAACAAAATAGAAAAATAACACACATGAATTATTTTATGAACTTATATCATACATTATTTTATTATATGACATTGGTAATTGAAGAAAATATGGAGAGCTAATAGAATAATTGACATATATCTCTCTTGAAAAGATTGTAAAGTGGATATATATGATTTAATTTGCCTCATGGTTGAAGTAACTAATGCTTGGATGAGGTGACATTCACAGCAGCTTTGTATTCTGTATTTGTGCTTTGTAGAATATCCCACATTACCAAAATGTCCTGATACTCACTTGTTTGTATGTCACCATGAAGCTTTAGAATTCCATCTCCACCTTCTTTTTTTAACAAAAAAAATAATAATAAATCAAGTGAATTGTTAAATATTAAACATAAGAAATATAAGGTATATACACATGTTTCCTTAATAATCATTTTGTAATTGATCACTAAGGGTATGTTGGAAGTAGGTGCAGTTTTTATAAAAGTTGTTGTAAATTTTGGTGGAGAAAAAAGTTAGAAAGCTGCAATGAAAATTATAAAGATATTTTTTTTTTGCAAAAATCAAACAATAATTTTTTTTAAAGTCACTGCATTTTAACAATTCAAGTTGAAAAAAAGAAATAGATTCTCACTGCAAAAATTATAGAAAACAGTTTCCCAAACAATACTGAGTTGATAGTTTGAAATACAAAACTGGCAAAAGGCTTTCCCAAACATACCTTACGCTATGAATAAGTAATCAGTGTGTTGAGAAAACAATTAGACTTGATTAAATATAAGAGCAAGTACACATGATAACTTTCACAATTTTCTTATTCATTAAAAATCTTTCTCAAAAGCTTCTATTTATAGAACACCATCCTTGCACTTGCATTTAATTTATTATTTAGGGTTATGATTTTATGGCATGTAAATACGAAAAAGTAGGGTAGATAGTTTTATACTATGTATTAAGAGGTTACATTGGTGAGGTTTCTTACATATTAAAAAAGGAAGATAATGCAACAACATAGTTATTCTAACATAGTTAATTTATGCTAAGAGTCGAGTCAAATTTTCTAATCAATAACAATAATTAAAATTTTTAAATTGAGATTTATCACAAAATCTTAAATGTAGGCTTCCATAAGAGTGTCTGATAGAATTAAGCTAAGAAAATTTTTAATGGCGGATGGTCATTAACATTAGAAAGTGAATTCATGACTATATAAACCCATATATTATTCACTTTAAAAAGCAACCCCCTATCATAAGCAATCAATAAATAAATAAATAGAGACATAAGAACAAAAATATAAGAGAAAAGATGAATATGCTCTCACAATAAGACAACTAAAGCAAACGGGCCATTAAAAATTAATTTGGAAGATTTACATACTTAGCTTGAAATTTAATTGCTTCTAAAACTATCACTATTCTAAATAATTTTCATTCCAAGCCTTTATCAAATGATATGTAACTAATTATCTGCATGCATGTAGCAGTTAGAGTCACAATCACATCAAAATGTTATGTTAGGCTAGAGCAGTTAATATTATAACTAGTAATTTTAATTTGATGTTATAAAAGTACATATTAAAGTTTATGTGTTAAATTTACAAATACATAAATAAAAAATTGTCTAGTATGTATATATATTTCATCTTTTAAATATAACTTAAGAAATTTTGATTTTTACCATGTGCTTTCTTAAAGCACCGCAACGATACTGTGTAGTATGTACTCTTAGCAAGGTCAAAACTTGAATGATGTGCCCGGGCCCGGCTTGCAATAATGTCAACAAGCTTACGACCTTGGGTATTTAAATTATCATGGAAGATCACCGGAGAACGCATCATGGGTGGCTGGAGAAGAAAGGAATATCATGATATCTGGAGTGAGAAGGCATCGACATGACCTTCGATCAGCTAGTTTAGCCATTATGTGAGCCAATAACCGAGCCTAAACAAACTTGAACTAGAGTGAGGCGGTAAGCTCGACTTTGATTGATAAGCTTGATTCGTGAGTTTGTTAACAAGTCGAGCTCGAGTCAGCTTGCAAGCAAGCTCGACTACATGGTTGAAGGCGAAAATTAATAGGAGAAAAATAAATATTATAGCATATTTTAACATATTACCTAATATATATACTTTTTGAGGCATTTACGTAATGACCACCCAATTTCTCTGGTTTTACATAACAGACACTTAAATTTTACTTTTTATATTTATATCACCCAAATGTTTCATATTAATCACATAAAAAATATCACTATTTTATCTTCAAAGAAATAGATATTTTCATGAATAAAATAAGATGATATAATATAAAAATTAAAGTTTAGATACTATATATATATATGTGTATATATATATATATATATATATATATATATAATTGGTATGCAAGTAAAAATTGAGCGATACGAGAGAAAAGTCCACACCGGCCATCCCCGCGCACGTCAATAAGGCCGGCTACAAACCTAACGAGCCCAAGAAAGTGGGGCGGTAAGCTTACCTTCCTTTTTCGAACTCTCGTTCGCAGTAACAGAGACGCGTGCCTTCTTCTGTACCATCCTCCGCCACCACTCCATCGTTCGGCAAGTCGCCGGCGGAGAACCGGTCTCCAGAGTCGTCTATTCTTAAGCTCCCCTCCTTTCACAACTAAATCAAACTTCAAATCACAGCGCAGAACTCAATTAAAATAAAAGAGTAGAGAGGTCGCTCATAATGCTCCGCCGCCGCCCTTCCGTACCGCCACTACTTCGCTTTCTTTCTTCCTGCTCAGCTCTCTGGACGCTGGAGCTCCCCCTCTTATATTTTCCTTGATGCAAACTTTTTGGGGAGGCCCTACTCAAACTTTATATTTTCAAACACCACCTGTCTTCATTAGTAGAAAATTAGGTTAGATATTTTGACCCAATATGCATTAAGAAAAGCTCTGAAAAATTAGCACGTTTTTTTACCGTATTTAAATAATACGATACCATACGATTTAAATATATTGTTAAGATAAAAAATAATGCAGCTATTTGTTGTAATAATTATGATAAAGTTATGAATTTCAATATATTAAATTGGATATAATTAATGAAATCAAATAATTATTGTTTTTTTTTTCAAGACATGCATTAATTTTAGGAACACAACATAAACTTATAAAGATGAGATGTTTCATGTAACAAAGTCGTATAATGTTCTACTTGTTAATTGTTTTAGGAGCAAGTTCTAATAGAAATTGGATAATAATATTTTAAACTAAGATTTTCCTTTCTCTATATAAGAGAAGCATCATATTTCTATGCCTTTCATTTGCTTTTGAATTTAACAATTATTAGAAGACCATATTAATATTTTATTTAATAAATACCAAAGGTCGAAATTGAAATGCAAAGTTTGATTGAAAGTAGGAGTAACTAACTACTCTTTTGAGGGGTGGGCAAATATCACATCCTTTAGGATAATTCTAGGAGAAAGCATGAAATCAAACTTTTTTTTTTCTTAAATTTGGAAGAAAAAGAAAAAAGTTATAACATTAATAAATAAAAAAAATAATTTAAAACAAATAAAATTTCAGGATTATAGTTTGCCTAGAGACGAGTTTGTGTAAAACTATGTTAAAATAAATCGATTGTTAAGTGGTTGTGATGGCTAGCTCGCGCAAAAATTGTAGGTCTTTGTAGTAAGCTCAGTGATGCGACTTTAATTTGCACCTAAATTTTATGATGTTTTTATTTGTATCATAAGTGTATTCTCTCCTATATAGGGAGATCAATTATGAATAAATGAGGTCAACATGATTGACACGATATACACGACAGTTTATTATTCATTATAGTTAACATGTATACTTGATAATTAAGAACAAAGAACAAATCATAGAGACTCATTTAAACTATTATGAGAACTTAAGAACAAATCATCAAAGAAATCCTACTTCTAACATAACAAATATCCATTTCAAGATAGAAACAAAAAATATACTCACTACTCATGACAAAACACACTCAATCAAACTTTGAATTAAGAAAATTCAACATAAATCAAGTCTTGACAAGAAATCTAAAGAAAAAGATCACTTGAATGTAGCAACAGATTGAACTTACAAACAGTGAGTATTACACTCTCTAAATCCTCACAAACTCTCTCTCCTTTCTTCTATCCAAGACTCCTTGCAAGTCATTTGGCCTTCTTCGCAAATTCTCCACGCTCCAAGTTGCAGAAGAAATGAAGAAAAAAGCCTTCATAACTTAGTTTCAATCTTTTATATTGTTTCTCCCAGTGAAACGACACGTCAAATTGTCGGAACCATTTATTTACGAGTAATGACGCCTAGGAGTCCATGGTTGGCACAGAAGCGCCGTAAATGATACGTTCATTGGAATGCTTTGGCGCTAGTGTCACAAAGTCTTGGTGCTACATTATAGTGTTTAGGCACAACTTATGTAGCGCCGACTCTCTGGGCGTTTGGGAAAATGACCAACATTCCAACTTCTCCTGGTGCTTAGGCACCCAATATCAACGCCAAGTTTCCAGGATCTCGACTTTTGCACATCTCTGGATTGGTTCTGACGCCTAAGCGCCATAACACCATTTTGCACATTTTCACCTTATTTTGAATTTCGGTTGCTCTCTTTACTTGATATAGAACACTAAAACATTCCTAAAAGCATGATAATAACATAAAAAGTAGCAGAATTAAGAGACAAATCATGTGCAATTTATAAACATACTGCATTTCATAAAATAATGGTGATGTGAAGAAAAATTCAACATAAAAATTGAAGTAAAATTATGTTCTAGAGTAGGGGTGTTAACGAGCTAAGTATAAGCGAGCTGCAAACGCATTCATGTTCAGTTCGTTTATATATTTTCTTTGCAGAAAATTGGCCCGTGTTCGAAATGGCTTGTGAACGGCAGTGTTCAGCTCGAAAAAATGTTCACATTTTTTTTCAGCTCATGTTCAGCTTAATTTGGTTGTATAAATTAAATAGAAAAATATATGTAAGGTGCTGAATTCAAACATGAATCATTCATATGCAATAAAAGTTGCAAAACCACATGACCACATATGTTGTGGTCATGTGGTCATTTAATCAGATATATATATATATATATATATATATATATATATATATTATAAATAATAACATATATAATTTTTTATATTTTGAGCTAAAAATAATAGAACACAATGGAAAAAATGGTTTTTTTGTGTGTTCGACTCCCTTATACTTCGAGCTTGAGAAAATGTTCGTGTAAAGCTTGCTTAGTTATGAACGATAAGAATATTAGCTATTTAACAAGCCGAACAAAAATTATTCGTGAATAATGAGCTTTTTTTGACTGCCCTGTTCTAGAGAAAAGTTTTTCTTCTATTTGAAAACTATTGGCATCAAAGTAAAATGCCTATATCTAATTATGTCCTTATTCTTAAATGAATAGAAACAACGTCAAAGTCTTGTGAATGGACACAATATCATTTTAGTAGTTACGATCACAAGGAAAATTTAATGAATTTTGAGAGTTTTTTTTTTATAGATGGTGAAAAAATTTTATGCCGATGTTGTAAAATGTAGAAAAAATTATGGTTCATTCGCTAACGTTGATTTATATAAAAAGGACATTATGGTTGGATTAAAAGGAACAACACACTTGATAAGTATATTGTGGGACGATGAACTCTACGTTTAATATTTAGTTTATAGTGGATTTTCTCAGTTGGGCTAGACCCCGTGATTTTTTTTCCTTTAAGGGATTCAACGTAAAAACTTCTGGTGTCATTACTGGTTATTTTCTTTGTTCTGAGTGTGTGTTGAATCTTCGTATTACGTTAAGATGATAATCTGCTACTATACCGCCGCAAATTTTCTAGCACACATCAATGCTAATGTCGTTAGGATTAAAGTAAGAAGTTCAAATAAAATGGAGCCCGTAGGCTCTATAAGGGAGACAAATTTGATTAAAGCGATGTATTTGTTTTGCTCCAAGTATTTTGATTAGAATTTTGAATCTTGGTTGACTCATGTAAATACAAGATTACACAAAATAACTTTTAATTTTTAAAAACCCTTGAGAAACTTTACATTAATGGCCACATAAATAACAGAAGAATGAAAAATACATGCATGTACTTCTTAACTACAAGAGGGTCACGCCCTTCCTAAAGTTAATTAAATTAAACTTGCCACATTACATTAAGATGCATTAATGCCTACAAAAATCTAATAGAAAGATAATTTATTTATTGTTCTATATATTTCATAATATGAATTAATTAAAATTTAATGTTTAATAGAAGAATAATATAATGAGGTTTAAGGTGATGAATCTTTTAGATTGTTGACTAAGCTTAAGTATAAAAATCCAATTTTTTGTAAATTTATCCACTTTAAAAGAAATATATATATATATATATATATAAATTATAACAATTAAATATGTTTTAAAAATATATATAGTTAAGGGCAATTACATACATAACACACCAAACATTGCTATTTACAAATCTAATGCCCATTTTCATCGTTTTTTAAAATTCTCACTAAAATATCAAAATTCATGATAAAACAACAACCTACTTTTTTTCATTTTTATTAAATTATCAATGATTTAATTGTGACACGTGTAAATACATCAGTTCAGTAGTTCAAAAATATCACATGAGTGTTAGATTGTGTAAATAATAATGTTTTGGGTGATATATATATATATATATATATATGTATTTGTGTGTATATGTGTGTGTGTGTGTGTGTGTGTGTGTGTGTGTGTGTGTGTGTGTAAGTATCCCTTCAGTCTAATAATATCTACTGTTTTGAATATACACAAGTAAGCAATGTCACATGCATGAGCGCTAATGCACACATGCATAACATGAACGTAAGCGTGTGTTTGTTCATGTGAGGCATGCGTTGTGAGCAAATATGTGGATGCACACACGAACAATAGCCAAGGCAGAACATGCGTAGGCACACACACCTGTACACAAATAAATGCCTCGAAAAATGAAACAAACAAAGTAATTAACATTTCATGACAAATAGATAAATAATCTATTCTTAAGAATAATAAAATGAATGAGACTGTAATTTTATAAAATTTAAATAAACTTGTTGAGCTTTTACATGTTTTTTATTGAAAAAAATTATTCTATATTTGACCGTGGGATTATCGAGGTATAATTTTTAGTAGTTAAATATTATCAATTCTTTAAAAATATGTGACCCATGTTATGCTAGTATTCATGGTCATTAGGCTTTGGCAATGATCTAATATATATATATATATATATATCAGAAACTAGGGTCGTTTAAATAATAATGATAAAAAGCTCACCTAAATACTAAAACTTATACCCCTAAATCAAGATTTTGTTATGAAAATCCACTTAAATTCTTCATGCATTTTGACCTTTGTCCCACAAGTGTCAAATGGGTCAAACATGCATATTAAACATCAAATCCTTTTTATTTCATGGAAATATTTGAAAGATGACCTATAATAATGACAAATCATTTGATGATATTTATTAATAAAACCTAGATAATATCTCAAAAGCTTAATTTTCATTAAAATGAAATAGTGAAAAGCA